CACTCCAGCCAGAAAATTAAAAATATTAAAATATGTGATCAAAGATGCTGGTAGAAAATAAATGCAATGTTTTATTTAGAAATCCCTTAGGGGATTTCCATCTTAGGAAATTTTAGCATACAGTATTGATCCTTTTGCCATGATATGGTCAGCATAGTAAATCAAGTGTTTGGGACTGTTTGCATGGTACATGTCAATCTAGATAAAGTATGTTACTGTTGTAACCATTTTAATAGTTTGCGTAGGTCTGAGCCCACGGAGCAGGCTTGGGTGGGCTCAACCAGCTTATGTGACAAAAGTACAGTATCTCTTTGTTAAGTGGCTCTTCACAAACCTGTCAGTCAACCCAGAGTCTTGCTGCACCAATTAACCACACTACTCCCTAGAAAAGTTGATGTTTTAAATTTCACACACCGAAGCCTAAAAGAGTTATACATTAAAGAACAAGGACCGAACCCAATTCTCTACCTCAGAAAAAGGAGTATTAAAAATGCTTTGTTTTACATAAGAGTAAATTTGTGATTCACTGTACATTTTTCAAAGTTGTGTGTGTGAAAGACTGTAAAAGAAATCTGAGAGTACTACTTATATACATGTTTGCTATTATTGAACAGTTCACTATAAATGGAAATCCACGTAAATATACTGACAATAAAATAAATTAAGCTTAAAAATAAAACTTATCTAACAACATAAAATAAAAGTCAGATTTTGAGACTTGCTATAAACCATAATTTGAGGATTTTAGCATCAAAAGCTTGCCTGAAGTTAGTTACATCAAAATTCCCCTACTGAAGAGACGGACTTGAACATAAATTAAGAAGGACCAAAATATACATGCTGTTCCAGTGACAAGTCAATCTGGGAATACGAAAAGCTCTTACAAGTTTTGACATTTATCCTAGAAATATTTTATAGTTTGAAAAACACTTAGTAAACAAGAAAATAGTTACATCAGAATATAATACGTTGGCCAGCAATAATTGGTATTGAAGTAAAAAAAGCAGCACAGGAAAGACAACTTACAGAATACTAAGCACTCATATCACAGAGAAAAAAAGTTCCATTCTAGAAGAGGAAAAACTGCTATGGCTCAGTGATGAATGTTAAACTACCAGAATTTAAAAATGAAAGAAACAGTACCCAAACCATCATTTTGAAACTATTATTCTGATTTTGAATTTTAATTTTTATTCTTTCTCTAGTCTTGTCTAGAAATCTGCAGTTTCAATATTATCTGCTTTTCCCACACTCCCACACTCTCTAGAATACTACTGTGTGCTTAGCACAGCACTAGAAGATAACATCTGCAGCATCAATTGTGTGATCATTCTTCCCAGCTGAAGACACGGTTTTAACCCAACAGAACCTGAACTGGGCAGGCTGGATTTTATAAGCCATTTGCTGTACCCACCAAAGAGAGAGATCGGATCCAGTATCCACTTTAGTGGTCAATGTGAGTAGGGACATGACTCAGAAGTGCAAAGTGGCCACGTCCCAGAATAGAGTCAGGCTTAAGGTGAAGGGACAAGGGGATTAAATTGTGGATCCTGCTCTTACTGTGTGACCTAGAGGAAAGTACCTAATCTCACTAAGTTTCAGTTTTCCCACTTGCAAAATTCAGAGCAGTAATATCTATGTTAACAGCATTATACAGAACAAATGAAATAACATATAAAGTACCTGGCATGAGTGCCATGTGCTCCAAGTCCTGGTTTTAAACCTTGACGAAAGTGCATACATTCAAATATTATATCATCTCTATTTTAAGAAAGAAAAAAGATAGATATATACACTGGAGCTCAATATGCATGTGCTGGAGGCAGGTAGAGAGGTAAGGTGGGAGGGAAAGACCATCTATTCCCATAATTTATGTTCCTTAGATTCTAAAGAAAAAATACCAATACATTTGGTTCAACTCAATGTCAGAGGATAGAAAAAAGAATAGACATTCTTTCCACCTTCACTGAATCAAATCTAAAAGAGGGTCACACCAAGTTACAGTCAATGCTGAAATCCAAAAAGTTCTTAAACGTTTTTAAAATTGTTTTCATATATAAATTTGATGGCAAACACATAGCACAGGGAGATCAGCTCGGTGCTTTGTGACCACCTAGAGGAGTGGGACAGGGAAGGTGGGAGGCAGGGAGACGCAAGAGGGAAGAGATATGGGGATATATGTATATGTATAGCTGATTCACTTTGTTATAAAGCAGAAACTAACACACCATTGTAAAGCAATTATACTCCAATAAAGATGTTAAAAAAAAAAATTTGATGGCAAAATGAGTCCTAAGCTTGAACTGGCTAGGGGCTTTATAGTCATTCTAAATATTGAGCATAAATATTCATGTACTGTAAGTTTCATTATGTGGTAAGGTCCCAAATCCCACTGGTAATGTGATATAATGTATGACAGACAGCAGTAGCTTCTGAAAATACATAGTAATCAAAATGCCTAAACACATGTAGCCCAAGAATTTCAGAGAAGGGAATCTGAATAATCTCTGCTTAAGGAAAAAAGGGAGAACAGCTATATAAAGAGGTAAACTGACTAAGGCAGAAAAATTTATAATTAAGAATTAATTTTCTATCCTTCTTAGATTAGTATCTGCTTAGGACCCTTGAATATCCTATAATACAGAAACAACCACACTACTTACATCATTGAGTTCTTGGAGAAGCAAGAGATAATCTATATAAAATGCTTTAAACAATGCCTGGCACAAAGTAAGTACCCAGTGAATGCTGTGTCATACAAGTGCCTAGAAAAATACTTTGAACATTTACATGGAAAACGCAAACAGGTGAGTAGATAGCTCAGACAGGTAGCCTGCTATATACCATACTCTATTTTAGAATTTTATTTTTAAAAATCTAAGAGTTTCCCTTTTCCTATGCCCGGAATTGTTTCTACTATGAGGCCTCAGAGACAGTATTAGTTCAAGTCATGGAGGCAGGTAGCAACCCCAGCTGAGCCAACAAACATTTGAAACTGACAGCGTGGAAAGACGTGAAGCTCTAAATACAATAAAAGATATTATTTAGGAAAAAACATCAACTATTAAAGACTGGAGAGTAGCCTAGAAGAATGCTTCTGGAAATTAATGTACAAACTAATGAGCCAGAGTTTTCGTTAAAACGCAGATTCTGACTTAACGTGTCAGGGCCAGACATTCTGCGTTCAAGTTCTCTGGTAATCACAACACTACTGGTCCAGAAACCCAAACAGAGTAGGAAGGCACCACAGCAGTGGTCCTCAAAGGGTATGAGCAACATCAGAATCTCTTGGGAAGTTAATAGAAATGCAAATCTGAAAGAACATAAGGAGACTCTTCTCTAAATCAGCTGTTTACATCCAGACCGATTACTTTCCCTAAGAATCAAAGTAGAATACTTTTTAAATACTTGACAAGTAGCATACTAGCACGTTACCTAAACAAAACAATCTCTCTGCAAACAATTTCTAAAACTAAAGCCCCCTGCAATTATACTTAAAATGTAGGCTTTTACATCATAAGAGGCCTGTTCTTGATAATACATAGGCAAAGTACTGATATACGTAGCATCCTCACTTGAACTACCTGCCAACTTTTCACAAAATGGCTCACTTCCATTTTACCTAGGTCATGGAGATATCAGTTTATAAAGAAACCAGACTGAGTTTTCAATTTCCTTGTGCTGAGAATATAGCCAACTACAACATGGTTTAGGCAACTTCTCCAGAGTAATGTTTATACATAGCCTGGCTCATATGTAAATATATGTCAACATTTTGATTTATAGCTATAGATGATCTGTTTACATACACAGATACACATATTAATGTAAATTAATGTACTTTAACAAATACAGAATGTTATGAACAGAGAAAAGATTTCAGTTTTCTGAACGTGAAGCCAATTGATTGTTAAATAGGCTTTCCATAAAATAAAATAAAAACTGTTGCCCCCACAATTCCCATTCAGTATTTCTTTCAACTTCAATCAACATCTGAATTTACAAGGTCACGTCTCAGTCGCTATTTTGAGTACATCGTTCTGTCCTTAACATATTTTTGAAGGAGTAAATTACAAATGGATTGTAAAGCACCACACTTGCTTAGGCATTGGGGGTGGACCCCTCTGATTTTGGCTAGGACCATGTATACATACAACAGTGGTGATGTCAGGAGACATTTGATGGTCAGAGCAGGGGAGGGGAGGGAGGGAAGAGTGCTTCTGGTATCTAGTGAGTAGAGGCCAGGCAACTTTTAGGGTGCACAAAACAGTCCCCAGAGCAAAGAATTACCTGGCCTAAGATGCCCAATAGTGCCAAGGTTAAGAAACTGTGATTTGAACTGTGGAGGTTGCAAAAGTACAGAATGAATGTCCCTTGTGCATCATCATTACATTTCTAGCACGGTGTCAAGCACAGTAATAAATATTTGTTGATTATGAAATAAAGTACTTCTGTGTAGCTGAGATCTTAGAGTCAGAGATGAAAAGAATGAGAAAGGGGTTATTACATATATAATATCTAAAATTACAAAACAAAATTGCAGTCATTGTCAGAACTAAAAGGAATTAAAAATCATTCAGCCCAATTTCTCTATTTCAGAAAATTTTTTTTCTCATGCAAAAGATGCTGTCTAATGTACTGATATGGCAGTGTTGGGAGGGGGTAGACAGTCCTCTGAATAAATAAAAACAAAATATAATATATTTATAAATTAAAATATCAGTTTTCACTTCTAATAGTGTCAATGTCACCTACGTTTCTCAAATTAATAAAGTATTTCCTTTATAAAAGCTAAAACCAATGTTACATAAATCATAAGTGATACTTCAAAGCAGGAAACAAAATAAATGTAATTATTTTGCAAAAAAACAACTCACAGACCTCCGTGGCCTACAGCATTTATACTTCTGAGAATTCTGGGCTTTAAAATGTCATGAGAAATTCTCAACTGGCTTACATTTTTGAAACATAGGAACTGACAGTCATAAGGCCAAACATACCCTTAATAATCGATTCAGCTGCATACAGATCTCGTTTGTAGGTCACCTAGAGGACAGATAAACTTCATTAGACTTAACAGAGTAGGAAGGAATGTGAAAGCAATAAAATTATGCCCCCAAGGAAATTCTTGATTTTGGAGAAACTATAAACACATAATACTGACAATTTTTAAATTACAACACATCAGTTTATTCAGAAAAAATATATATTGTTTCTACAAATGGTTGAAGATTTGTTTTTAAATCTTTAAGTAAATTGAGACGTTATGTGGCAGTGGTTACCAGTCTTATTAATATAAGTATTATATCAAAGAAAATGTGGTAGCATTTAAATAAAAGTATTAGAATTATTGTTTAATAGTAGGTTTTATGTTGGAAGGAAAGAAGGAAAAGTATATATTAAAAAAATTACCAAATTGCATTTTCAGTTGAAATGAGATACTTCTGAAAGACCAATTCACATTGAGGGTCTTCATTCTGAATTGAGTTTATCTGTATACTTCCAGATAAGGTTCACCTTTTTAAGATTTTTATTAATACATAACTGATAGAAAGAGCCTGGAGGGTACCACCATGTGTATAAGAACAATCATGATCTTTGCTTAAGAACATACAGCCTCCTTGCAATAACCTATTCCTTGTAATATACCCTGCATGGTCCTACAGCAGACAGTTCCCAGAGCACATCCAGTGAGCTCAGGTACAGAACATGCCAAGTGCATGGCACTGCAGAATCACTTTTCCTACATCACAGAACTGAAGAACGTAGTAAATAATCAAATATGTTAATAAGTGCTATAAGGTCTTAGGAGCTTATCATTCACGTGTTCAGATGATTATGATGCAAATGGTCTAAAAACTCACTTTGAGAAATACTCACTAATTAATACCCTTCCATGTCTATAATTTGGACTATTTTCCTCGAGATTATATCCTAACTAAACTTGTACAGAAACTTTGTTCAGGTAAGTGGCTCAGGGCACTTCTACCCAAAATAGGTTTCCCTGCTATGCCTGTATCCTGGCAGGTAACCCTGGTCTAAAACTATACCTTACAATCCAGAACTAATGTAGCAGCTAACCTGTAAGACAGATGGAAATTTCCTCAAGCACTCAACCAATCTATTAAAATCAAATATGACATTGTTAAATTATGTCTAAAACAAGCACATGTGAACCAAAACTAGTACTATAGTTACTGACCCAAAATGCAGTTCTCTTATCTGGGGAAAAAAATAGAAAACAGACACTTAAAGCTTCAGACTATGCATTTTACCAAATTAAAGAATGTATTGATCTCATTCACTCATTCAATAAATATTTATCAAATAACTACCATGTTGTACATCCTGTTCTAAGGGCTGGAATAGAGCAATGAAAACAGTGAGCAAAACTCAACCTGTAGACACAACATTTTAGAGGACAAATTTCTTTTATAAGAATTGAATAAAACACATTTGTTTCGGGCTTCCCTGGTAGCACAGTGGTTGGGAATCTGCCTGCCAATGGGAATCCACCTGCCAATGCAGGGGACACGGTTTTGAGCCCTGGTCTGGGAAGTTCCCACATGCTGCGGGGCAACTAAGTCTGCAAGTCACAAGTACCGAAGCCCGTGCTCCGCAAAAAGAGAAGCCACTGCAATGAGAAGCCCAAGCACCGCAAGGAAGAGTAGCCCCCGCTCTCGGCAACTGGAGAAGGCCCACGCACAGCAACGAAGACCCAAAGCAGCCATAAATAAATAAATATTTATTTATTTTACCAAATAAAGACAAGACAAGGCTGCGGAGCTCAAGACAGACAGGAAGCAGAGACCCTCAAGGCCTAGAGCAGAGCCACATGGGGGCTTCGGGGGCAATAGAAAAGGCTGGAAAATCGGGGCTCCCACAACACAAACCCACACACGCACCTGTGGTAGAGGCCTCCAGTCATGTCAGTTACATCCACTCTTTCTTTTAAATGCCTCTGAACACCTTCTAACCCCCGGCCTTCCGACAGGCAATGGGGACACAGCTACCTCTCGTGGTATTAAATATTAATATTAAATATTTAAATATTAAAAAAACACATTTGTTTCCATGAAAGCCCAAAGTTAACTAGCTATCTGAAATCATCACTCAGTATTTGCAATTTAAGTGAGAAAAGCCTTTTTTTCCTATAACTGTCTGCTATGTAAGGTAAACTCAAATCAGAAATTAACAGGAAGATGCCTAATTACCATAGCTGATTTTTTATTCCTTCCTGCTTTCTTTGAGAGAAAAAACCGCATTCCAAATTTAAATAGAATAATTGTGAAAGTACCTTATTCTTTTTTCCAAATAAATCTATCTTAACAATGGGTTTTTTTAATGAAAAAAACTTGGTCTCAAATACTAAAATGATTTTTCTAGCATATTTGCAAGACAATATTTTTGCATTGGAATCAGTCTTATGAATAAAATACATGCATTATTACCTAAAGGTCCTTTCTACACTAATATTAAATAAGTAATTGTATAAACAAGAAAGACATCAAAATTTGAATTGTGACCTCTGCAGTGAAAGCGCAGAGTCCCAACCACTGGACCTCCAGGGAATTCCCCTAAAATTCATCTTTTTGCCTACATTTTCTTGTTGGCTGTGGATACATACTATACACAGATTAAAGTTTTTGATGTTTATTTAATATTTTCTACATAAAGCCTTATTGAAAACCTCAACTATACTTCTCAACAAACACTGATTTAAGGAAAATAAACTACAAAATATTTCTGACAAACTTATAAAGTACTGTGTTGAAAAACAGCCTTCTGTTTTTCTAAATAAAACAGCTGCCAAATTTCAAAGGGAAGAGTACTGAAAATGTTTTAATTCTGAATTGATGACTCTTTCTATCAAGTTTTTACAGTAATATGGAGTGTCCTTTCCTTATTTTTAATTTTATGAAAAGTTTAATAATCAGTTTTGAGATTGATTTTCTTCTGTAAGCACGATCTGCAGGTTTTCTTTGACCTTGCATAATACCTCAGTATGGAAAACAGTTACTTAAAAAAAAAAAAAAATCAGCCCTAGTGATAGAAGAGCCTCAATCCTCTGATTCACTGGACTGTGCTCCTTAGAGCTCAGGGGCCACCGGAAGACCAGTGTGGAAGCTCTGCGCAGCTGACGCTCAGAGCCCCACATCTGCTACTCACCTAGTTTAGCTCAGTTTTTGCCTGTTTTGTTTCACTGTGCTTCTGTGCAATATTTCATCTAAGTATTTAGCTTTAAAAATATTTACGTTCAGTGGAAGAGAAACCTGAAACTGAGAGCCACAGAGATAGCTGCCTTTAACTCCTAGGCCAGAGCACTCTCAGCTACCTCAAGGTGCGTTCCACAGACACTATGGTACCTGCTTTGTCTTGCTCTGTGTTGACAATATGGTAAATTAAAGAGACTTCTCAGAGCCAAGTCCACTTGGCCACCATCTTACATAAATCAGACTACACTTAATGTTCTTCCATCTTTCACCTCATAAGAAAATGAGTATGTACTCCAATAATTAGAATAAAGCCAGAAAATCTTAAATTTCGAAGACAGATACAAATTTAGATTTGGATGGGGATATTATATTGATTTCCATTTCATCAATTATGTCTATCTAGAAAATGTTCTTTCCTCTAGATTGGATAACTAGATGAAAACCTCTGAAAAGACACAATTTCACCACACTGTATTTTTGAGGTTAAAAAGAAAAAAGTGAGACTTTTTGTTTTTAACAAAGATGCTAGAACACTTGAATCTAAAACAAGTAATTCCCATCAAAAGAAATCCTCAAAAGTCAGTCATTCCAATAATGTTGTGATGACACATCAATGTCTTCTAAAGAAGCATTTTCAGACAATGGAATACAGTTAAATTTCTTCAATAACTTATTATGAATCTTTTATGCCTTGAAGACAGTTTTAACACTTAGAAACAAGAAGTTTGTTCAATTAGGTCTGTGTAGTATAGTAAGTGACCAACTCTTTATATTGGGACAAAAATATGGTACAACTATAAATTAAAGGAATGGAGACTAAATGTAGTCTCCTCTTATATAGACTAGATGAAATTTCTCTAAAATAAGGGTATGTTCAGTAAGGGCTGGCTAGGCACAACCACTCAGGCAGAGCTTAAGAGCCAACCCCTATTATCAGGAGTCGGTCCTGTATTCTTCTGTGGTTGGTCGCTCTTAGGGAGGGTCAAAGGAGGGAGAAGAAGGGGGCTTTGCTCATTCACAAGGATGTCCTCTACCCTGCATGGTGATCTGAAAAAACTGATGTTTCCTCTAAACCCAGAGGAGCTACTGCAGGAAGGTTGGCCTCAACTGTAAATGCTGCCTTTTTGCATTTACTTCTATTTTTTTAAAAAAGTATGTAAAATATAAAATAATAGTCCTCCTGGGATTTCTAGCAGCAGATGAAATAACAGTCCTACATGTGGTCATGAGAAATTTCTAGTCATTCTTCCCAGCACCAGGGGTGAACTCCCTCACTTTCTGAGGGGTAGGGGAAGGTGTCCTGGCTCTGTATTTCAGAATCCTCCTTTGCCTTATTGTTTTGTGGTAGTGAAAATTCTCTTGAAATATGCACTCTCTTAACTGCCAATTATGCCAGTTTTAGCATAATTGTACTAAATCTTCTTTCAACTCTGAGTTGTAAAAAGTTGTAGCATTGTTGGAATTAGTATTGAATTAGACCACTTATTTCAATGTGCAGATTCCATTGCTTTGGTTTAAACAGCAATGGTAATACTCTTTATCCATGCAAAATAAAACCATAAAATTAAGTTAAAAGCTTATACTAAAGACAACTCATACAGTATCATCAAAAAGCTAAATAGGGCTAAACGAACAGCCAGTAAATATCAAAAATAGTTTTTAAAGGTAGAGGATGATGAGACAGGAGGCAGAAGAGGGAAATAGGGAACCTGAAACAACTACATCATTTGCACTCAAAATAACTTCCCCTCAATCACAGAAGAAATTTGACACCTTAAAAAGACCTCAAAACTGCAATTTGAAAGACTTTTTGCCCAATTCACTGCATTACATGCCCTTTTAGAATCCAAGACCCTGGTAAGGCACATCATTATTCAAACATTCTAAGAGCAGGGCTTCCCCACTCCGGCCCAGTTCGGAAAGTGATACTATGAAAATGATCCCTCTGGGCCTAACAGGATATCACCCTTTGCCATGTGTATTAGTTTCCTAGGGCTGACATAACAATGTACCACAAACTGGACATCTTCAAAAAGGAACATATCCTCTCACAGTACTGGAGGCTAGAAGCGTGAAATCCAGGTATCAGCAGGGCCACTGCCCACTCCGAAGGCTTTCGAGAAGAATCCTTCCCCACCTCTTCCTTGTTTCCTGAGGTTGCCAGCGATCCCTTACTTTTCCTTTACTTGTCGATGCATCACTCCAATTTCTATCTGTATTGTCGTTGGCATTCTCCACCTATCTGTATGTGAATCTTTTCTCCTATTCTTACAGATCCGATTTAGGGACTCTTCTTTACCAATCTGACTTCATCTTAACTTGATCATATCTGCAAACCCTCTTTTCAAACAAGAGTGTTTATTCACAAGTGCCAGGGGCTAGGACTTGAACATATCTTCTGTGGCGGGATGCAATTCAACCCACAACAGCATTATGAAATGACTCAGGAGGAGAATGAATAGAAGCACTTGGAAAGGCCAACCACAGTTCAGTGCCCTGACATTTGTCGCACATAAAAGGGAAGCAGAGCGCCAAGATGTAAGGATTAAAACCGTGATACTGTATTGCTGGTGGAAGCACTGCAATGTGAGATTTCACTCAAAAATACTGAAACACATTTGTGAAGACAGAGTGTAAAATTCAAAGAAGAGCAGTGTGCTGCTTTCCTTTCACCTGCAGACCTGAGGGTACTTTACAAGTTTAAAGAAGGCTCAGAATACCAACAAGAAGTAGATACTCACACAGCCTAAAACATCAGCAATGAGGCCGGAGAGTGCTGACATGTTAGTAGCAATAAAATGTCTTGAATTTTCACTTTTTTTTTTTTTTCAACATAGTCTGCAAATTAAGTCTAGCAGGTCTATGGTGACATGGGTCAGGATCTTTAACAAAATACCTAATTGGTTACTATCAAAATCCTCCCAATTGATATGTATATCACCATCTGAGCCATATATAGAAAAGGAGAAACAAAATGAATAAAAGCTTTGCCTTCTGGGTTGATGATATTCGGATACTCTTAAAAGAGCAATAAGACTGCATTAATTTACTCCACCAGGCAATAATTCAGGCTTGTCAGTATTTTGTAATCTTAGAACAATTTAAGTATGTATGAGAAAATCTTAGCGTGCAGTAAGGCCCACCACGTGACTTACAAAATACCTAATCAACACATAGGGCTTTTTGTTTTCTTTTTATGTCAATGAGGAAGTATGCTTTTAGATTCATATAATCTAAGAATTAGGATGAATGTTTTCTAACCAGATTTAGAGGGATGCTTTATAAAGATTTCATCCAACATTTCAAAAGCAGCAATACTTATTCAAAACTATAATATGACCCTACAATTCTATTTCAGAATACACTGCTCAATTCAACCTATTTCTACCCCATCAAACACAGGAGAGTCACGCTGTAAAGCACTCCTGCTGCAACAGGAAGCTGAACTATGATCGTGCAACAACCACTTCATTCCTCCTAAAGAAAGAAGTTTGCCATAAAGGCAGTCAAACCTTACCACAGGAAAGAGCACAGTTCCTCTTAGGAGGAGGTGAGTGGTTCTAGCCACCAACCCCACTGGGTCAAAACTGGCAGATATGTGTTTCAACCCAGTTAAGTTGGAGCTACCACCCCAAGGCCTGTGAGGAAACGTTGTTATTTTGGAAAGCAGAGTTGCACTCTCAATCCAGTTGAAGGTAAGGCTACAGAGTAAAAGATTATATGTAAAGAACACGCACAAAAATTGTGAATAAGAGAATCTTATTGGCTAAAATGGAATTTGTTTGAATAAATTATCCCAGCGTGAGTTTTCTTGCAACCGAGCAATAGAAATGATACCATATTTGATGGTTCAGAAAACCTAGTGAGACTCAACACCTTTTATGTATGCATATACACACATACCTTTATTCCTGGAAATACTGTTTCAATATGAAACCAAATATTTTTATACTTCTCTATCTTCTAAAGCACCTGGAAATTGTCTGTACTTGTAGACAATTCGTCTTCAGGAATGACACACCAAAACAGAGCTAAGTACCAACTCCCTTACCTTCCAGAGGTCAGGAGATCCTTCTATAAGTTTGGCTTTGATGTGACAGTATTTTAGAGCCAAATGCAAACACTCAGTTCCAAATTCCAAGTCATAGTCACTACACTGTGTAGGAAGAAAAAAGAATTAACAAGTTGAAATATAATTTTAAATAAACTAATCTTTTAATTTCATAATCAACTGTACATGGAAAAGAGCCCAGAAAACTCACAAACTCTTTAATTAGCTACTGATTAATCAGGTACATTAATCTTCCCCATGCCCTAAAAGCCAAATGAAACAAATAGAAAACAGGGATGTTGCAATCAGAAGAGTTTTTAACTTCCTGAATAGTCTCAGGTGTCAGATAAATATAATACTTCATTTCCTTTGCTCAAAAACTACATTTCCAAACACATTTGTGAAATGCCTCAAGGTATGACCAAGGATTACCATATCAGACTTGATTTAACAAATATAGGTATCCATAAAACTCCAAACCCCTTATGTCATATTTATACCGCTTTCTCATTAATTGGTATTTTAAATATCAATATATCCTTTTTAGGGGATACATTTTGATTCTGAACATGGCAATATTTCAGTCTTTCATTATGAGAAAAAATTTAAACGCCCATTAGATTTTAGTAAAATATAAATAACATTTTTTAGCATTTTAAGCAGAACCATCAAAAATGACCAACACAATATAATTCAGCTGAGTAACAGTCACTAAGTACCTATCAAGTCCAAGGTTTGTATTAAGGACCAGAATAAAAAGACAAATGAAACATGTTTTGTGGCCTCAAGGAACTCAAGTCTAGAAGGGGAGTTTGATCTATACCAAATATTTTATAACAGAATGTGATATGGAGCAATAGAGGAATATTTATAAGTAGACCAGGAGATAAAATACTTAATTCTATATGAGGGTATCAGGGAAGGCCCATCAGAGGAAACGGTCTCTGATCTCATTCCAAAGACTGAATAAAACTCAAGCATAGGGATACCCTTCAGGCAAAAAGTGCCAAACAAAGATATAGACGTTGCAGACATCTGCTGGATTTGCATTTTACAAAGAGCATATCCATATAAGACAGACTGCAGGAAGACAACAAATACGAATATGACATTTAGCACCCTTTGCCAATCTTTATTGTACTTGAGATTACGAAATGCCAAATTTTAATGATTTATGAAGTTAATGTACAAGAAAATATAACCATCAAGTATACCCAGAGTCCCAAATTAATCAGAACAGTCTCAGCTTAAACTTTCTACACTGATAGACTACCTAACATGACATTAATTAAACATTTTCATCTCTAATATAGTATTATCAGCAGTTGTTACATTCAAATACATTAAGTTTTGGTAAACCTCTACATCCTACTTTCAACGTCTGCACAGGCTCATCTAGTAGTATGCAAGTGACACCAATCTACAGTAAAAAAAGAGTTCTCACCTAACACACTGTTAAATCCCAGAGATGACTAGCAATAACCCTTTTCCTGCCTCTTTCCAGATGCAAGATATTGAACACATGCATGGACAGCCTTAAAAGCACTCACAAAGTGTATACTAAGAGGAACCCACAGGAACAACTACTTCCTTTGTATCTCAGGGATGAGAATTACTTGATGCTGTGCTCCTGCCACTCACGTGATGTACCAGCCAACATGGCAACAGCTTACAAACTGCATGAAGTCTTCAGGATTCCAATCAACAGAGCCAACAGGAAATAAGGAAAATGATGGATCAGGTACTTATGAAATATATACTAGAAACAGATACTGAGCCATTCTGGCAGAAATAGTCTGAAGCTGTTATTCACTGTATAGATTAATATTACAACTATTTACAGGGTTTTTGGTAACTTTTTTGCATTAAACCTTGCTTCTACAGTTACCTCAAAAAAAAAAAAACAGCATGCTTAATAACAAATTAAATTCTGAATGTGTTTCTTAAGAACATGGATGACGATTTCCACTTCTGCCTAGGATATGGAAAGCTGACAAAAATGATGCTCATTTCAGAACAAAAGAAAAAAGCAGACAAACTACAAAAGCAGAACTTTTTCTCAAAACATCAGAGCTCAGGTCACAGGATGACCAAGTACCCCTAACTCTAAGAAAAGGCATGCCTCCCCCCAAAAGGGAGAGAGTGCCATACAGGCAGGTAAGAAGAAATCACCTAAAAATTCCAACTGTCAAATACTGAGTGGAGGAAACTAGGAGAATGTAGAACCTCTGGGAATCACAGCCACAACAGGAGTGTATACCCACCCGCAGGTCTTCTTCAGCAACCTGTTACTGGGTGCTCATGAAGAGGTGTAATAGTATTTCAAAGTGACTGTGAGTTTAAACTCAAGGTAATCACTAAACAAATGTTTTAGAGTAAGAAGTCAATAGTGATAAGAGGGAATCATAAAATGAGAAATTAATACAAAGGCAGGCAGAAAAAAAGAAAAGGAACAAAAATAAATCACCCAGCAAAATGGTAGGTTTTAATCAAGTAAGTTAATTAATGTGTAACTACACAACGTATCGACATTATCCAGCATGGGGGCCATAGTGCTATCACTGATCACATGAAAAACACACAAATACATAGGTGTGGAGAACCCTCTGCCTCCCTAAACTTGGAGCCCAAAATAGTGTTAACAATGTTCTCCTCAGGCAGAAGCCCTTGGCACACTATTGTCAGAGGTCCCCACATACACTGCCAACCCCAGTCACCCTACAGTGAACCTCACAATCAACAGGCCCACTTATAAAATCCACAAATCCAACCAGTCTCCAACATACACACATGAGCAAAAAACCCAGACTTAACTGAAACCCAAGGTAAAACTAAAATGAAAGATAAGGTGAAAAAGGCAAAAAATAAAGTATTTCGTAGGAGCTAGAAACTATACAGTTAATAAAGACTTAATAAGCCCAGAATAACAGTGTCTATACTCATAAAATAAGGATAATATTTAAGAGGATAATATTTAGAAGGGTGGAAAACAGAAAAAAATAGATGACTCAACCACAAAGTCCAATATGTTAAAAAAAAAAAAAAAAATCAGGGACTTCCCTGCTGGTACATTGGTTAAGAAACTGCCTGCCAAGGAAACTTACACAAGCCTCTTAGATAGCCTCATCCACCAGAGGGCAGACAGCAGAAGCAAGAAGAACTACAATCCTGCAGCCTGCGGAACAAAAACCACATTCACAGAAAGACAGACAAGATGAAAAGGCAGATGGCTATGTACCAGATGAAAGAACAAAATAAAACCCCCAAAAAACAACTAAATAAAGTGGAGATAGGCAACCTTCCAGAAAAAAAATTCAGAATGATAGTGAAGATGATCCAGGACCTCGGAAAAATAATGGAGTCAAAGATCAAGAAGATGGAAGAAATGTTTAACAAAGACCTAGAATTAAAGAACAGACAAACAGGGCTTCCCTGGTGGCACAGTGGTTGAGAGTCCGCCTGCCGATGCAGACGACACGGGTTCGTACCCCGGTCCGGGAAGATCCCACATGCCGCGGAGCGGCTGGGCCCGTGAGCCATGGCCGGTGAGCCTGCACATGCGGAGCCTGTGCTCCGTAATGGGAGAGGCCACAACAGTGAGAGGCCCGCGTACCACAAAAAAAAAAAAAAAAAAAAAAAAGCTGCCAGAAGCTATTCAGTAATATCTAATGGTTGAGTAGAGTTCTATTTTCTCCGTAGTGTGGGGAGCTCTGAAAATGTGTACAACCTTCTCCTTCTACTTTCCCTTACACCTAGTTTGCATTAAGAAAAATGGAAGAAAAATTAGCAGTGAAATTGGAAGAATAAAGGTAGAAGATGAACAAAGTTTTAAAGTATATTATTCTAAATTTTGACAATTACAAACATGGATATTCTCTTCCCGTTTTGATTTGTTCTGTAAATCACACATAGTTGAAGTTATTTTTTTTTTAATTAATTTTTCCTTTTTTTTTTTTTTTTGGTACGCGGGCCTCTCACTGTTGTGGCCTCTCCCGTTGCGGAGCACAGGCTCCGAACGCACAGGCTCAGCAGCCATGGCTCACGGGCCCAGCCGCTCCACGACACGTGGGACCTTCCCAGACCGGGGCACGAACCTGTGTCCCCTGCATCGGCAGGCGGACTCTCAACCACAAAAAAGCCCAGTTGAAGCTTTTTTGTTATGTGTATATTGTTTTCCTGTCTTCTCTACGTAGCGGTTAAGTGACTAACATCAAATAAATAGTTTATAATACACCTCTCACACTGTTCGGTCAGTCTCCGCGGACCATCACCCTATAGTTAACCTCCTGCCCAGCCCTTTCTCCTGTACCATCCTCTGTTATGCTTCAGTTCACTCAAACTCATTACCTAATAGGCTCTTCACCTCCTAGATTTGAAGGAATACCTATTGCTCACCAGCATCCTCAACTGGTTTCTACTGCTTTTCCCAACCATCACTAGTAAGTGGTTCAAAGGCAGGGTACGAAGGCAGGATTAACATTCCAGATCCCTACTGCTCTTCTTCCATGCAAAACACTCTTTCCTTCCAAAATGCGGGCCATCTGGACAATGTTCCAACCTTCATAACACTATCATCTCTCACTACTTCATAGGCTCTGCAGTTTCAGGCACATGGGATCAGTCTTCCTTTTTACTCCAATTACTGACATTATACTAGCTGAATTCAAGGTCCATGTGCACAAACTTTAAATACTCTAGCCATTTCCTTGACATTTATCTTCACTTGAACAACTAATTTCTGTTTTGGGGAACTTGATGTTTACCTTTATCTGTGACTCCTCTGAAATTTTTCATTCCATAATCCAGTCTGACTGGAAGATCTAACCATCATTTCTCTTACTCTCCTCTCACAATGAAGTTGCCCTTTTCCCTGAATGAGGCATCCAATCCTATAAAACCTCTATTTGCTCTTGATTAGGAAATGTTCGCTTTCTTAGACTGCCCTTCATCAACCAAGAGACTATGGTGGAAGGCATGAAAAATGTCATTACTAGCACCCCAACTGCTTTGATCTCTTGTCCATCTGCTAGATTTGCTTTATAAACTCCAACTACAAAATCATGTCATCTATTCTATTTTCTAAATTTTTAGTTCATACATTTCAG